TTTGGCCAACATGCCCTGGGCCAGCAGCACCCACAGCAGAGGATACAGTAGGCTCCTCCAGCATCCAGTGCCCCGTTGGTGGCGATGGCACACACGGACAGTACAGTCATGCCGATGATGAAGTACGCCACCGCGAACATGGCCAGGGCTTGGTACAACCCGGCATGGCCCACCACGAACCCTGCCGAGGAGGTGGGAGAGGTCAGTGTGCCCATCAGCTGGTCACGGACCACTCCCAGGACAGGGTCCTCGGGCACAACTGTCACCACACTGAGGCACGCAGACTGTCCCCAACCGCATGCCCACACCTGCCCCCAGACATGCCACCCCCTTCCCTGCCAGAGTGGGAATGTCCCCACAGCAGGGCGCTGCCACCTCCCACCCACAGCAGCACCTGGGACCAGCCCAGTCGGTGCCTCCACCTCAGGGCATCTCCACACTCCTGCTGTGCCAGGATCAGGCCCAGGCAGATCCAAGGGGTGCACTCAAAAAGTAAACAAACAGGGCAGGGGCACTCTGGAGGGGGGGGGGGGGGTGTTGCCGGGACCCCTGTGCCCTGTCGCCACCCTCAGCAGGCAGCGGGTGCCTTGCACCCCAGCTCAGGCACAAGGACCTGATGGGCTCCCCGCCGGGTTTGCGTTGCCGCCCGGCTTGCCGGCTGCAAAACAGGAAGCAAAAGCAGCCGCAGGGCATCCCTGCCAGCTGGGGCACCTTTCCCTGGTGTGTGTGTGTGTGCGTGTGTGTGTGTGTCCCCACCCCGGGGACAGGGCACCGAGGGTCCCCCCGTGGCCCTGGCCGGGGTGACAGGAGGCGAGCCAGCCCGGCAGTGCCGTGGGCAGGAAGGGGGTGCCTGCGGCTGCAGCGAGATGCCCTATCTCAGCCACAAGCCAGGCCGCAGCCATGCCCGCGGGGAGGCGAGAGGGGGGCCGGGCCACAGGCACTGCAAGGAGCCCACGGGGAGACAGGCTGGGTTTGGGGGCCACCCCCTGCGATCCCCAGAGGGTGCCCAAGTGTCAACAGCAAGGGCGGGGTGCGGGGGGTAAAGGGGTGCCCTAAAAGCAGAGCGGGGATAAGCAGTTGGGGCTGTTCACACTGGAGATCTGGGGGGTGTTTGAGGCATGGGGGAAGCAGGGGGCTGCTGGGGGGAGACACGGCCGCCCCACGGTGGGACGGTTCCTCTTCCTGGCAGCTCCCTTCCTCCTCCGCCCCACACTTCCCTTCCAGCCCCACAGACCCCAGGGGTAATGCAGTGCTGGGCAGGGGGGGCCGGGGCAGGCGTGGGGACCCCAATGCCCACTGTGGGGTAGGGGCTGGGGGGGTCAGAGCCTGCACAAGGACCCCTAATAAGGGGGTTGGGAAAGGGGTGAGTGATGGCAGGGGAGAGCTGTGCCCACAGCTCGGGGGGTCCCCCAGGCAGGGAAAGGGGCTCAAGGTCCCTCCAGGGCCTACCGGGCCCCCCGGGCCTGCAGCCAACTCCCGCCCTGGGATTTTTGTGGGCGGAAAGTGAAAGAGGAAAAGCCTTCCCTGTTCCCGGACCAGGGCAGACGCTGAGGGCCACGGGCCTCTGCATGGCCCGGCCCAGGCTGGGGCATCTCCCCGTTGCCACCTCCCGGATCCATGCCCAGCACACCACTCTAGTTCTCCCAGGTTTCCCAGTAACAGACTCATAACCCAAATTGGGAGCAGACTGGCACCCAATCGGTGCCCTTTGCACAGCATGGGGAGGGGGGACACCAGGCTCCTGCCCTTAGGACACCATGGGGGATCTGAGAGAGAACTGGGGTGCTAGAGCCCATCACTGGGGGATGCCTGGGGAGCAGTGAGGTCCCAGTGCTGGGGGATGGGGGACATGAAAGCACTGGAACCCTGTTTAAGGAAGGCACAGGAGTTCCGTTCCAGGGACACTACAGCTTCAGACTGGGGTCCTTTACTGGGGGCACTGAGGTCCCTAACTGGGCTCCCGTCCTGGAGGTACAGCAGGAGCCCTGTGGCCCCAGACTGGAAGGGTCAGGAGGGGACACACAGAACTGGGACTCCAGCCTGGGTGAGAACTGAGAGGGCACTGGAACTCCAGACTGGGGGACTCAGAAGAGGGCGCTGGGGCCCCAGACTGGGAGCACTGGGACTCCAGCGAGGGGGGCTCAGAGAGAGCAAAGGGAGGATACTGGGAACCCAAACGCGGTGGGGACCTCAGGAGATCACGGGACCCCGGGACGACACGGGGCCCGGACTGGGGGTACCAAAGCAGAGCTGGTGAGATTCGGGGGGCCCCGGGCGGCGGCCGCGGGGAGGGGTCGGCGGCACTCACCAAGGCGTAGGAAGAGGACGACGCTGAACATAGAGAGCAGAGTGGGCACCACGACGCCCAGGAAGGTGGGCAGCTTGCGGGGGGCGGCGGCGGCAGCGGAGGCGGCGGCCCGGCCGCGCTCTCGGCCCCGCTCCTCCTCGCCCGAGCCGCCGCACAGGCGGTACGTGAGCAGCGCGCTCCGCTCCGAGTTCGCCATAGCCCCGGCCCCAGCCCCCGCCGGCCCCGAAACGCGCCCGGTCCCGGCCCCGGTCCCGGCCCCGGCCCCCGCCGGTCCCGCCCGCCGACCCGAGCCCGACCCGCCGTGCCCCACCCACAGCCCCGCCCCCTCGCATGACCACGCCCACGGGGCCACGCCTCCGGGCCCGCCCCGCCGCATAGGCCACGCCCCCGGGCTGACCGATAGGCCACGCCCAAACCCCTCGGGTACGACCCGCCCCCAGGGCTAGACCAACCACGTAGGCCCCGCCCCGGCTTTCGGGATATCCCCGCCCCTTTATTGGCCCCGCCCACCTCCCCCCCGCCCGTACCCCACCCCTATCACAGTCCCCGACCCCAAATGTACCCCTATAGCGGTCCTCTCCAGCGCCGCCCCCCAGCCCCCCAGCACCAGAGGAGTCCCTCCTCAACACCCCCCCTAGCGTCACCCCACACCCCAAATCCCCCCAACCCGTGGCCCTTCCGGGGTCTCCCCACTCCTGGTACCCGGCACCGACGCCCTTTTCCTAAGCCGAGCCTCACCCCAGTCCTCCCGGCACCCTAAAACCAGCCTCCGCGTCCCCGCATCGCCACACTCCCCCTGTCCCCGACCCTCCCTCAGCGGCCAGTACCGACACCTGCACCCCCAAACTGCCCCCCGGCATCACCAGGGACCCCCATACTGTGTCGTCCCCCCCCCGCCGGTGCCGGCCGGGCTCGGCTGCCCGCGCCAATTACCGGGCAATCGGGGCCCCCGGGGGCGCCGTCCCCCCCCCCCCCCCCCTTCCCTGCCCGCCGCCGGGGCTGGGATCTGCCCGGGCCCCGGGGTCCCACTGTCGCGAGCGCCTCGCCAATTAGGTTAATGGGGTTGGCACCGGCACCGGAGCCGGGAGCGGAGCGGGGGTGGGGGGGGCAGGGGCCGGGGGCCACACCGGCCTCCTTGAGTACCCGCGTGGGCGCCGGCTGCGGTCAGCCGAGCGGTTGACTCCCACGGTGCGAGCCCACGTCACGAGTTGGGGGGGATCCAGGGGGAGGGGGGACACCGGGACGGAGCGCGGGATCGCTCCCTGGGGTGCGATGGCGGCTGTGCGCCCGTGGACGTCCCCGTCCCGCTCCCACCCACCCCCCCACGCGTGCCCCCGCGCTGTCCCCGCGGCCGAGGTGGGAGCCCGGCGGGGCCGCGGGCTTTCATCTGCAGCGGGCCTGTCGCCGTGCCAGCCGCGGGCAGCTCCGCGCCTTTGATGTGCCACTGAAGCGGCATTGTCCGCGCCCCGCTGGCACCATCAGGGCCGGGGGGGGCTCGGGGGGAGAGGGGGGGAGCGCGGCACGGCCGGAGCTGCGGGCACGGAGGCGCCCCTACCCCTAATGGGGACGGGGGTGGTGGCACGGGCACCCCTCCGGCTCCTAAATGGGGATGGGGACACGGGGACCTCCTGCGCTTCATGGGGACAGAGAGGGGGGCATGGGCACCCCCTAAGGAGGAGATATGGGCACCCCCCCTGTTCCCCAGTGGAGTGGGGACACAGACACCCCCTGCCCCTAGCAAGGATAGAAGTCTGGACATGGACACCCATTCCTGCCCCCTAACAGGGGCAAAAATGGGGGCACGGGCACCCCCCGAATGGACATGGGGACCCAGGAACCTCTGCCACTTAACAGGGACAGAGATGCGGGCACAGACCCCCCCCGTGCCCCAAATGTGTGACGGGGATGTGGCCACACCCTGCCCCGCCAAAGGTGCCGAGGCCAGGCGCAAGGGCACAGGAGGGTGGCATTGGCAATGGGGACAGGAGGTGTGGGCACCCCAAAACTGTGGGGCCAACGACAAGCCGAGATGGAGGCACAGGGAGGGACCCTCTCCAGCTGGACAGGCGAGTGTATCCCTCCCCCCCCCCAATCCCTGTGGTCAAAGTTGCCCCCCAGACCCGGGCAGCGTGTGTGTGTGTGTGTGTGTGTGTGTGTGTGTGTGTGTGTGTGTGTGCTGGGGGCAGCCGGTGCTCAGCGCGGGGGGTGCAGTGCTCCTGCACGGGACGGCCCGTTCAGCCTGGGTTGGGCTGACAAAGAGAGAGGGGACCCCCCCAACCCCACGCCCCCCTCCCCCCCCCCCCCCAAGCCCTCCACCCCCCCGCAATGTCCGCCCGGCCGCTCCCGGCCCGCTGCCCGCCTTTGAAGCCCCCGGCGGGTCTCCCACGCCCGGCCCGGGCCCCCCGCGCCCCGCAGCCGCCGGTGCGTTCCCACCCGCCCGCTGTCCCACCCGCGCCCCCCGCCCGGGGCCCGCAGGAGGGACGGTGGCGCGGCCGGGGCTTGGCGTGAAAATGATCAAGGGCCGCGGGCAGCGCCGGAGCGCAGCGCCCGTCTGATGCTGCCCGCCCGGAGGCCCCGTCGAACAAAGGCGGCATTGAAGCCCCGGCTGCGCCACCCCCCCTCCCCTCCTCGCCCCCCGCCCCGAGCTGGCATCTTGGCTCGACATTAATGAACTCGCCTGTTTGTGCTCCCCTGGCCCCTCTCTCCTCCCACCGCCCAGGGGGCACCGTATATATCCATCCCTCCTCGCCCGCCTCGGGCATTTCGGGGGCTCCCCCCTCCTGCCCCCCTTTGCCCGCCCAGGGATGGAGCGTGGAGGGAAGAGGACGTGGGATGCTCTTCTCGGGGTCCGCCTGGTCCCCCTCGTGCTGCTGCCGCTGCTGCAGCTGGCGGGGGGGGCCCCCCTGGGTCAGGGGCTGTACCCCATGCCGGCCGGTGTCCTGCAAGGTCAGTGGGGCACGGGGACAGGGGCATCTTTGAGGGAGGGTTTGTCTGGGGACAGGGCGACTGTAGGAGCTGGGACTCTTGGGGTGCACAGTCAGGGAGGGGGGGAAGCTCAAGCAGGATGCCTGGGTCGCTGGCAAAGCCTCCTCATGCCCACGCTGCCTGGACCCGGAGGCAAATGCTGCCCGTGGCACTTGGGGACACCGGGGTTGCAAGGAGCAGTGTGGTTCATGTCCCATGGCTGCCAGACCTCCCTCCTGCCTTGGGGTACCTGTGCCAGCCCTGGGGGGGGACCCTGCTGCCAGCAATGGGGTGGCTGACAAAGAGTACAGCCCTGGGTGGGCACAGGTATGGGCACACATGGGGATGCACATACAGGGCACACAGAGGGCTGCACACACATGGGCACACACGAGGACATGCAGACACAGGCACGCAGACCCTGGCACACACAAGTGAGCACCCAGGACGTGGGCACAAGTGTGTGCAGAGGTGCGTACACACGGGGGCACACCCACCCAGGCTCACACCTTGCCCCGTGCACACATTTGCACACGTGTGTTCAGAGGGTCTTCACGTGCAGCGGGCACACACAAGCCCGGGCAAACACCCTCTTCACACCATGTACCCACGTGCCAACCCCGCTAGGGAGGTGACAGTCATGTCTGTCACCTTCAGCAATGCCAAAGGGTGACAGGTTGTGCCCAGCCTGACTCCCACCATGGAGATATCAGGGCACGGGCACTGGGTGGACTGAGGGCACCCCATGGCTGTGGTGGGGGGCAGTGGTGGGGGCACCGGGGGTCTAAGTGCCCTGCATATGCCCGGCAGCGCTGTCGAGCCGGGGGACACTGGTGCTGGAGGCGGCGCTGAGGAGCGCGCTGCTGGCGCTGGAGCGGGCGCTGGCTGAGCAGCAGAGGCAGCGGGGCGCCTGCGGGCTCTGTGCCCCCTGCCTCTTCCCCCCCTGCGCCAACCTCACCCGGCACTGCCCACGTGAGTCATGGTCCCCCAGCCCCTATGGCCCCAGCCCCAGGAGACCCTACCCACACAGAGCCCAGGGTCCCCACACAAACACTGCCCGGGGTCCCTATCCAAATATCTCCCCATGCCCAGGAGACCCTCCCCAAACACAGACCCGTGCCTGGAGACCCTCCCCAAATTCTGCTTTGGGTCCCTACCAAAGAACCATCCTATCTCCTAGAAACCCTACCAAAATGACAACCCAAGACCCCACTCAAACAGTACCCACTCCCCTATAGGCTTTACCCTATAGACTTTACCAAAACAGCACCCAGACTCCCAAAACATATCCCTAACTGCTAGAGACCCCTACCAAAACACCACTCAGAGTCCCTACCCAATCAGTTCCCCATCCTCTCTAGCTCCTACCCAAACATCATCTGGACCCCTTCCCAAAACATTGCCCGATCCCTTGTTTCCTTCCCAGAGATCCCCTCAAAAAAACATATCCCAGCACCCAGGAGAACCTACCAAAACATGCCCACAGAGCAGACCCAACATGCCCCCTTCCCACCTGCCCCAAATCAGAGCCTGGGGATGGCCTGGTCGGAGGTGGGCAGGGGAGACATGTGGATGCCCACAGCCCTGCTGTCCTTGCAGCGCCAGCCGTGCCCCCCGCCGTGCCCCCCAGCTGCCAGGCCTTGCTGGATGCCCAGGCGCTGCCCGAGCTGCCCCAGCGCAACTGGGCGCTGAGCCAGGCCTGTGCCCCCTACCAGCGCCTGTGCCCACCCGAGGGGACCCAGCACACCTGCACCCCGCTCAGCGCCCGGCTCTGTCGCCGTCGCCTCCAGGAGTGCCGTGAGTGGGCACCCGCATCGCCCCTGGCTCCTCGCAGAGAGGGGAGATCCTACACTAACAAATGGGGACATCCCCAAGGGATGCCTGGGGTTGCCTGGAGGGGACTCAGGGCATTGGGGATGATGGGGTGGTGTGGGGAGACCAGGAAGGAGGGGGTACAGTATGGTGACGGGGGTTCTCTGGTGGGATGGGGAGATGGAGGGAGATGGAGGGATCTGGGGTGAGATGTGGAGATTTGGGGGATGGAGGCATTGGGACCAATGGAACAGACTGGGGGGGGGGGTGATCTGGGGTGGGAGAGGGGAGCACGGGGGAACAGAGCAACAGGGGTGACAGAGAAACTGGGGATGCCAAGACATTGAGAGTGACAAGGACACCTGGGGTGGGACAGGGGTGCCTGTTGGATGATGGAGATCTGGGGGGTGCTGAGAGAAGCAGGGGAGAATTGGAGACAGCAGGGACATGGTGAAGACATCGGGGAAAGGGGGGGTGTGGAGGTGGTGCTGCCACGTGCCGTGACAGCCTGTCCCCGCAGGGATGGCAGCTGCGGCCCCCGGCCCTGATGCGCCAGCGGAGGTGGTGAGGCCAGGTGAGCCGGGGCAGCCCTGTGGTGTCCACACCACCCTCCCCCCCCCCCCCCATGCTGGCGGGTGCCCCCAGTCCCCCGGCTGCCTGCTGGGCTGGGGGGCAGAGGTTAGCGTCGGCAGCTGCCGGGCCGCGGGGTGCCCCCGGCTCTCCTCCCGCTTGTCTCCGTGAGCACAATGAGGCTTGACAGCGCGCCCAGCGCAGCCTGACCTCCCCCCCCTCCGGGGGTCACCTGCCACCCCCTCTGCCCGCCACGGCCATCCCGGCATCGCCGTGCCCATCCACTCCGTGCCCACCCAGGATAGGGGGTGTCCCGGCAGTGGGTCTGCAGGATCCCCCCCTCTCACCCTGGCTTTGTCCCTCAGGGAGCTGTGGGCACCGTGGCGGACCCCAAGCCAACTCCACGGCCCCCCGAGGACGGATCATGGGTGGCAGCGTGGCCCCACGGGGGGCCTGGCCCTGGCTGGTGTCGGTGCGGCTCCACGGGGAGCTGATGTGTGGAGGGGTGCTGGTGGGGCTCTCCTGGGTCCTCACCGCAGCCCACTGCTTTGCCGGGTATGGTGGGGGGCATGGCAATGTAGGGATAATGTCCCTGTAGAGGGGTGCATGGGGTGGCACCCTTGTCACCCCTGTAACTAGATGCCCCCCAACCCACCAGGAACAGGAATGAGCTGGCGTGGACAGTGGTGGTGGGTGACCACGAGCTGGGCAAGACGGGCACGGGCGAGCAGGCAGTGCCTGTCCGGCGCATCCTGCCTCATCCCAAGGTCAGTAGAGGTGGACACTACCCCGACCTCCCTGTGCATGCCCCACAGCCCCCCACTGACACCCCCATCTTCCTTTCAGTTTAACCCCAAGACATTTCATGGGGACCTGGCACTGCTGGAGCTGGCGATGCCGCTGGTCCCCTCGCCCACCGTCAGCCCCGTGTGCCTGCCCAGCAGCCCCATGGAGCCCAGCCCCGGCACCGCCTGCTACATCGCAGGCTGGGGGTCCCTCTATGAAGGTAGGTGCCACCCCAACACCCACAGAATCTATGGGGCATCCCCCTTGGTGCCCTCTCCGGTGCTCAGTGTCAATGCACCGAGCCAGGACAAGGGAGTGCAAAAGAGCGGGGTGTCCAGGTACGGGAGACCCTGTGACGGGTGCCTTGCCTGACAGAGGGGCCGACGGCCGACGTGGTGATGGAAGCACGGGTGCCCCTGCTCAGCCAGGAGACATGCCGGGGTGCCCTGGGCAGGGAGCTGCTCACCAACGCCATGTTCTGTGCCGGGTACTTGTCAGGGGGCATCGACTCCTGCCAGGTAATGCCCAGGTCTGGGGGGCTGCTGGCCTCCCAACTCAAACATCCCTCGCGGCACACAGCGCTGGGCACGTGCTGCAGCTCAGCACAGCCTGGCAGAGGGGATGGGTTCCCCCTGGCCCAGCCCAATACACGGGCATCTCCCCCCTCCCACTCAGGGCGACTCGGGGGGCCCGCTGGCATGCCAGGACCCCTCGTCGCACCGCTTCGTCCTCTACGGTATCACCTCGTGGGGCGATGGCTGCGGTGAGCAGGGAAAACCAGGCGTCTACACCCGTGTCACTGCCTTCGTGGACTGGCTCAGCCTCCAGATGGACCGTGAGTGCTGAGGGGGACGGGGATGCCCACGGTGCTGTGGGGACACATTGCCCTGGGAAGAGAGGGGTTGGGGAGTTCAGGACCTCACAGCAGCCCTGGTGCTCTCGCAGCCGCCCCTGGCAGCCGGGAACCCAGCTGCTTTGACCTGCTGGCACTGGCCCAGCTGCCCCCCGAGCAGCAGCCACCCGAACGTGCCCGCCTCTGTGCCTTTTACGCCGGCTCCTGCCAGGCCCCCCAGGGCCAAGTCGCCTGCACCCGCCTGGCTGAGGAGACCTGCCACGCCAGGATGAGACGATGCGGTGAGCCGGGGGGTCATGCCAGGGCTAGAGTGTGGGGAGGGACCTCGTTTCTGGCAGCGTGGGGCTAACATGGTGCCAGGGCCATGGGTCTCCCGCTGTGCCCACAGAGCTACACTCCTACGCCCAGACCTTGATGGATCTCCTGCGCCGGGCTGGGGACTTCATCCGAAACCAGTTCGACTTCTCCTTCCTCACCCGTGCCCTGCCCCAGCTCCTGGGCAAGATCTACGGGCATCTCTTCCCCCACCGTGTCCGCAGGGATGCCCCAGGTACCCTCCCAGGCTGAGACACCCTGTGCCCACTTGGGGTGACACTGGCTCCCCCCGTAGCAGTGGCCAGAGCACCAACAGCCTGCCCTGGTACCCCCACGGGGCTCCCCTACCACTTGTCCCTCCTGTCCCCTTCTTGTCCGTGGCAGGTGGCCAACCCAGCCCCACGGCGGAAGGACCCCAGGGTCCCCCCACCAGGTGAGACACGGTGGGACACAGGGCAAGAGGGGCTAAAGGGTTTGGGGAGGTAGGCAAGATGCCTGTGGGTGCTGATATGGCTTTTTGGGGACAGCCTAGCCACGGGGCGCCTGCCTGAGCTCGCACCGCTGTGCTTGCAGGCAGGGGGCTGAGCGGCCACCCCCCTTTGCCGGGCTCTTTGGGGCTGTGGGGCCCCGGCTGCAGGACTGGGTGGAGGCGCTGAGGGCCATGGCAGGGGATAGCCCCCCGACACCCACCCCGGACAGGGAAACGTGGCTCTTCCTGCAGGTACGTGGGGAGGGACATGACGGTGCCATCAGGGACCTAAGCCCCATCAGTTCCCGTGTCCCCTCCTGACATCACTTGGGTCAATTGTCCCCTGTGCAGCCATGGAGGTGGCATCTCCCACTCTGCCACCACAGAGAGGGCATCTGACCCTCCTCAGCTGAAGCTGGTGCTCCCAGTCCAACCAGCGCATAGCCAGACATGGGTCTGACTCTGCAGCTTAGGATCCAACCCAACACAGCCACAAAGCAACCACCTGCCCCCAGTGCTCCATCCGACACCAGCCCATCCGTGCCCTGCACGCTGCCACCACGCACCTGACCATGCCCACAGGTGCTCTGTGGGTGCCCCAACACCCACCCTGTCCCTCCCTTCCCTTCAGCAGGGAGAGGAGGTGGTGGAGGAGCTGGTGGGACAGGGACGAGCCTTTCTCACCCAGCTGCGGGCAGAGTTGGACTTCGGCATCCCCCTCGAAGCCATGGAGCCACAATGGGCACGTGGAGAGCTGGCAGGGACCCCCATGAGGGGTGAGCCCCAGAAACCCTGGGGGGGGCTGGGGTTGAGGGGGCAGCAGGGTGTCCATCTGCCGGCCCACTCTGTGCCCGGGCAGTGCCCACCAGCCGTGTCCCCACCAGGGTTTTCACACCTCTCCTGGTGGCAGGGTCTGCACCAAGGGAGAAACGTGAGCTGGTGCCCACGGAGCTGCTGGGTGTGGAGGAGGAGGAGGAGGCAGGCACGGGAAGAGGTAAGCACCCCACAGCCCCCGGCCACTGCGGGATGCCACGTGCCACCGTGGGGACCGTGGCAAGCCCGGCTTCAGCTTCTCACCTCAGTTTCAGGGCTGGCTGTCCCATGTTGGTGGGACAGCCCTCAGCCATACCCCTCTCCACAGGGACTCTGTCCCTGCTCCCTCACCGTCCCCAGAGTACAGCTGCTCCTCCCTGGGGTGGACAGCAGAGTGGTGCCCCCATGATTTGTCCCCAATGTTCCCCCCTTTCATTTCATTCCTGCCCATTCCCGGCGTTGCAGCCTGCCCTGGCCTCAACGAGTCGGCGGTGCGGGTGGCTGCGGTGCGGGAGCTGTACGCCTGGGTGCTGCGGGTGCCTGAGCCAGACCTGGCCATGACTTTCCAGGAGGTGAGTGCCCGGTCCAGCTGCTCTGAGCCCCCCACCCTGGTAGCCAGGCAGTGCCACCCCCCAGCCCATCACTGTCCCGCTTGTGCCCCTGGGACTCACGGCGTTGTCGTCTCCCTGCAGATCCTGGTGGACTTGGGTTCCAAAAACACCAAGGGACTGTACCGGGCGCAGGTGCGGGCCACGGTGGGGGGCCGCCCCACAGCCTTCGCTGGCCTCGTGGGGCTGGAGAGCGACTCGCTGGCCCGCAGCATGCCCGGCCTCGTTGCTCTGGCGCTAGAAGCGCTGAAAACCTAATGGTTCCCCTGGGGCACCCTGCCACCATGGGGACAGGGTGCCGGGGCAGGGGTCACTCACATCCTTCAAACACAGCCCCCTCTCCGGCTCAGGATCTTCCACCCTTTTTTCCTCCATCGTGCCTCAGTTTCCCTCTTACCACCGGCACTGCCTGATCTCCCTGGGGCAATGGGGTGCTGGGGGGCACCTGGAGCATCTCAGTTGTGGATCACAGCCTTCCTCTCCGCTGGGACTCCCACCTTGGCAAGCCCACCCCCACCCCATTTTCCCCAGAGGCATCTGGGCTGCTATTTATTTGTACAGAGAGGTTTATTTTTCAATAAAGAAGGGCTCTATTTTCTGGTAGCTGGTGAGTGTGATGTGAGCCTTATGCCACGCAGTGCCAGTGAGGCAGACACTGGTGGGGGGACTTTCCATGGGGGATATGACATCCCATTTCATCCCCCCTTCCTATTCCCTTGTCCCACAAAGTGATGCCCCCAGCCTTGGCTCCTGCCCCCAGCATTGTGCTGTGCCCAGCTTGGCACAGACTCCCCCAGCACCCACCCGAGGGTCAGACACCCCTCCTGCCCACCGCAGCACCTGTAGCACAGCACCACCCCATTGCCGCCCCACTGGGGACCCACAGGGGACCTCCTGCTGGTGCAGGGGCCGAGCGTGCCCTGGGCCAGTGGCAAATACTGGAGCGGTGCCACCCCTGCGCTTGGACATCGGTGGGTACCAACCCCTCCTGCTCACGGGGAGCCGGCCACCCCCCCAGCAGCATCGCCAGGGCTGCTGAGCAGCAGGGAAGGAACCGCTCCTCCCAGCGCCCACCAGTGCCCGTGCTGGGGCGCCTAGACGCAGGGTGATGGGCTGACACCCACGGGGCTGGCGAGGCCAGCTGCGCCTGCCTGTCTCCCCCTTCTCCAGGCGCAGGGGTGCCGGAAGAGAGGGGTGGGAGCGGGTATCCGGTGCCGGCACCCTTCCCCCTCGGCACCTGGTACCATCCATCTCCCGCTCCGGCCGGCAGCCGGACATCCGCTCGGCCAGGCCGGGCGAGGAGGCGGCCGGGGCTTGGCACGGGGCGAGGGCACGGCGGGCACTGCATGGGGGACCTGCCGGGGCGGCTGGCCCTGCTCGGGGCACTGGTGCTGTCGGGTGAGCGGGGTCCCGGGGTCTTGGGCACAGGGTTGTCTCATTGCTGGGGGGGTTCTGGGCCCCCTTAATGGGGTTGGGGGGGGGGGGGGGTGATGGTGACAGGGGCCAAGCTGGGCACAAGTGTCCCCAGGGCTGTGTTTTGGGTATTGCCTGGCAGAGTCCCATCACTGAGCATCCCTCTGTGCTTCTGTCCTGGCTGTGCCACCCGCAGCCGTGGCCCTGCCTGGGTTGTGGTGTGTGTCTGTCTGTGCACAGCATCACTGTGTCTGTGTGTCCCTGTGTGTCTGTGACACTGCATCTGTGCCCACGCGTCCCTGCGTATACCGGGTCCATGTCCACGTGTCCTTGTCTGCCTCTGCGTGTGCATTCAACTACGTGCACAGTGCCGCCGCAGCTGTACCCGAGTGTCTTGTGTCTGTGTGTCCCTGTGTGTGCTGGGTCTGCATCTGTGTGTCCTTCTGTGTCCCTGCCCATGTCCTCTTGCCCATGTGTGTCCATGTGTCCCTGGCATATCCATCACTCCCGCATGTCCCATGTCCATGCCCCTGCGCAGCACAGACATGCCACTGCCTCCTGGCCTGTTCCTGTCCCTTCCATCCTTATACCATTCTGCCGTCACTGAGCATCCCTGTGGGGTTGCACTGGGCCCAGTAACCCCCCCAGCCTGCCCTGCCTTTGCCTGACCCCACATTCCCAGGCGGGCTCTGCGTGAACCAGGAGGAGCGGCTCATCCACCACCTCTTTGAGGAGAAAGGCTACAACAAGGAGGTGCGCCCCGTCGTCTCCATCGACCAGGTCGTGGATGTCTACTTGGCCCTCACCCTGTCCAACCTCATCTCGCTGGTGAGCCCCAGTGGTCAGTGCCCAGGGTGGGGTGCCCCACAGCCATGCCTCACCCCCAGGGCTGGCTGGGTGGGGGAAGCCCTGCGGCTGCTGCCCCAAACCCTGGCTGCTGGCGAGGGTTGGGGGTCCTGGGCTGGGGGGGACTGCTGCTGGGCATGGCCCTGGCATCACACTGCCCCACACTGTCGTCGCAGAAAGAGGTGGACGAGACGCTCACCACCAACGTATGGCTCGAGCACGTGAGTAGGGACGGGCGTCTCGGCGCCAGTTGTGCCCCGAGGCACGAGCAATGGGGTGGCCTAGCACGGTGAGGAGGTGACCTGGAGATCCCCCCATCCAGGGCTGGACCGATTACCGCCTGCAGTGGAACAAGTCTGAGTTTGGGGACATCGAGGTGCTCCGTCTGCCGCCAGACATGCTGTGGCTGCCTGAGATAGTCCTGGAGAACAAGTGAGCCATGCCTCAGTTTCCCTTCCTGAACACCCCCGAGCTGTGTGCCCAGGGCTCCCCCTGCCCCTCACCGGCTCTGCCATCACCTCAGCTCTCTTCTGGCACAGCAACGACGGGCTCTTCGAGGTTGCCTACTATTGCAATGTCCTCATCTACAACACGGGCTACGTCTACTGGCTGCCACCTGCCATCTTCCGCAGCGCCTGTCCCATCAACGTCGACTTCTTCCCCTTCGACTGGCAGAACTGCACCCTCAAATTCAGGTGCCGGGGGGGGGGTGGCTGGGGCAGGGCAGGGGAGGGGCGGGCAGCAGGATGAGCATCCGCGGCGCCTGCTGCTGCCAGCACCTTCCTTGGCGTTGGGGTGCAGCAAGGTGGGGGGTTTGCGGGTGACTCAGTGGCCCAAGTCCATTGTGCTGGAAGTCAGGGTGGGTGGGTGGTGGGTACCAAGCAGCAGGCGCAGCCCCTCACTGCTTGTCCCCCCCGGCCACGGGCCAGCTCACTGGCATACAGCGCCCTGGAGATCAGCATGCACTTGAAGGAGGACAGCGACCCAGAGACGGGCAAGTATTACCCAGTGGAGTGGATCATCATCGACCCCGAAGGCTTCACAGGTAATGCGTGTGCTCTCCGCTATGTCCTGTGGCAGCGGGACATCCTGTACGGGGCTTGGAGGTACTCTGGAATTAGGGCACCCTACCTGAGTATCTGGGGCTTTGGCACCCTGGCACCCATCCCACCAGGCTTGGAGATACCCAGACCCAGGTCGGGGAGACCGGTGCTGGTGGGGCTGGTGCAGATGGGCATGGTGGGGGTCTCCCATGCCATGCACTGTCCCGTGTGCCCTGGCAGAGAATGGGGAATGGGAAATCATCCACCGCCCGGCCCGCAAAAACATCCACCCTGAGAACCCTCCCGAGAGCAGCGAGCACCAGGATATCACCTTCTACCTCATCATCAAGCGCAAGCCGCTCTTCTATGTCATCAACATCGTCACGCCCTGCATCCTCATCGCCTTCATGGCCATCCTCGTCTTCTACCTGCCTGCCGACAGTGAGTGAGCCCCACAGCACCCTCACCGGGCACAAGGGCCACCCCATGGGTGTCTCACACCTGCACCAGGTCCCAGGACATGGGGACACTCCAGTGCCGAGCACAGGGACATCCTGGTGCTGGGACACTCCCATGTAGGATGCATTCATCCCAGCCTGGCACCCTGGCAGGGGCACATTTGGGCACAGGATACCCCATGTAGGACACTGGGGTACCCCCATAATAGAAAACCCCATATGGGACGCTGTATGGTGGGAGACTGGAAGGGCAATCCCGGCACTCGGGGCACTGGGAAGGGGACCTGGGGCAGGGTTTGCCCTGAGCTCACTTGCTCTCCAGGTGGTGAGAAGATGACCCTGGTGATCTCAGTGCTCCTGGCCCAGTCTGTCTTCCTCCTGCTCATCTCCCAGCGCCTGCCTGCCACCTCCCACGCCATCCCCCTCATTGGCAAGTGAGTCCTGGGCACTGCTGAGTGCAGAGGGGACATTGTCAGGTCCCTGTGGTGCCAGAGGGCAGCTCTGCCTGCTCCCAGCCCCTGTGGCAATGCCAGACCCAGGCCCATGCCCCACACAGGTATCTGCTTTTTATCATGCTTCTGGTGACGGCTGTGGTGGTGATCTGTGTTGTGGTCCTCAACTTCCATTTCCGCACCCCCAGCACCCACATCATGTCTGACTGGGTGAAAGAGGTGAGCGGGGTGCTGGGCTGGGTGAATTGGTGCGTACAGGGGTGGCACCGTGCCCCACGGAGGGCATGGGACTGCACAGCCCCGGCATTACATCGGGGTGTCCCATCTGTGTCGCGCCAAGGGATCGAGGGCAGAAGGTGGGGGAAAAGTGGCATTGCACTGGGGAGGTGGCTGAGGGACCTGACACCCCTTCCCATGCCTCAGGTCTTCCTGGAGAGCCTGCCCCGTCTGCTGGGGATGTCGCGGCCAGCTGGGAGCCCGTCGGACACCCCCTGCATCCGGCGCTGCAGCTCGGCCGGCTACATCGCCAAGGCAGAGGAGTACTTCAGCGTCAAGTCCCGCAGCGAGCTCATGTTCGAGAAGCAGTCGGAGCGGCACGGGCTGGCCAGCCGCGTCACCCCTGCCCGTGAGCCTCGGCCCCTCTACAGGGACACGGGGAAGGGTGGCAGAGCGGGGGTCTCTTGGGGGGGGGGGGGGCAGCCCTTCGGAGCCCGTCTCACCACCTCCCTCGCCCCCAGGTTTGGCACCACTGGGTGCAGACGCAGGCGAGGAGCAGCTCTACGAGCACATAAAACCCATCGTTGATGGCGCCAACTTCATCGTCAAGCACATGCGGGAGAAAAACAGCTACAATGAGGTGGGGGCCAGGGGCACAGAGGGGGCAGAGGGGAGTCCCTGTGCCCACTGTGCCCCCCACTGCCTGGCTCCCGGCTCCTTCCCCAGGAGAAGGACAACTGGAACCGCGTGGCCCGGACCCTGGACCGCCTCTGCCTCTTCCTCATCACCCCCATGCTGGTGGTGGGCACCCTCTGGATCTTCCTTATGGGCATCTACAACCATCCACCACCGCTGCCTTTTGCCGGAGACCCCTACAACTACCGGGAGGAGAACAAGCGCTTCATCTAGGGGGGGTGGAGGGGTCCCATGTGCCAGCCCCTCACTCACCTGCCTTGGCTTGGGAAAATAAAGCTGGGTGCTTCTCACCATGGGGTGCTGAGCTGGTGGCTGCTCTCAGTGTCCACCCCCACCGGGGCACAGTGGCCAACCTGAGTGCTGCGTGTGTGCCAGGGAGGGCGATGCCCACTCAGAGAATGGGTGCTGTTGGGTGTCCTGAGCACAGTGGCCCTCAGCTGTGGCTAGAGGAGGTGTTTCCCAGGGGGGGACGTTGTGGC